AAGGAACTGGGCAACGGATTGCGTAATGGACAAGTTCTTTTCATGATTAATCGTCAGGAGGGGAGGGAGAGAACACACACGCGACGATTGCTTAGATGTTAAAGGACTGCGACTGCATTCTTGGACGATCCGATCGTACGGGATAAGTTTCGTTTGATAAGACGCGTTCTCTTCTCGATCCTCGATGAATCTTCGAGCGCGAGGATACGAATTTTCTATCGTAAAGTCTTAAAGAAAGATTTAAATACGTAACGCGGAAAATCGAAATAACAGAGATAAGAACTGAAATGAAAATCTTATATCTTGTAATAATAAATCTTGATATTGCCTGCCGATTTTGTAAATGATTTTCAATGTAATTTTTCGTCGAGTAACGAGCGTGGATCTTATCTGCGAACGATTTGTGAAACCAGCTCGCGGGAACGTGACTAGCTTTCACGAAAGCGATTCTCGAATGCAGGCTGGATTCGATGATTCGTGTGAAACATCATCTCTACGCAGCTTTCTTCTCGAACCGCATGACTCCTCTCTCTTTCTCTCTATCTCTCTGGATTCATGATTTCAAGTCATAAATATTCAGCGAGACGAAACTCAGATCTAGCATGGTCTACTAAGATTACGATGATGCAAGCATCACGAGGAAAATATTTTCAATTCGTAAGAGAGAAGACTGGCTGTTTCTTGGAATGAGAGTCTCGCGACGAGGATTGATAATCGTCCGTTGATTCTGCAATTTTTTTCTAATCTATTCATACCAGAGTTTGATGACTTTACTGTAATATCTCCGTAATTTTTATTAATTATCATATTAGACGTGTTTTACAAATGATCGTTCCTTCGTTCGATCGATTGAATTATAACAATCCAATGCAAAAATTAACACCAACGGAGGTAACAATTCCTCGTTGTTTCATTCGTTGTTTTTCGTGTTACAGTTGCATCTGGTGCATTGGAATACAAGCAAATACAACACATTCGCGGAAGCTGCGAAAGCATCTGATGGCCTTGCGGTCCTCGGCTTGTTCCTCAAGGTTGGTAATTATTCTCTATGATACACCGTTTCCCGATCTCTAACTATTCTTATACAGCATAGCAATCTATACTTACGATAGTCTACATACGCGCGCGTTTATTTAATTATTTACTTTGGCTTTGCCGCTGTTGCGAGTAAGATGCAAATATCAAGAAGCACGTTGTGTATATTTTTAACATATGTGGCAAAGGTTACGTATTGGAGAATCGAGAAAGGGAAAATGACACGACAATAATTAAATAGACATTTATATAGGTAGACATTAAACTCGAGTACGGTTGTGATTAGTTGATAACGATAAGGTTC